TTAGTATTTATCCGAATAAATACTCATTCATAACCTATTTTATAAGAACTATCGTGAGACATACTAAATTTATTGAGTTGGCTGCAAGACATCGCCGGTCCGCGCTCGCTGCTCATAAATTAGACTCCCGTTTGACTAGAAACAAGTAAAGCTTTTCTCAGTTACTTTCGAGTGGGTACGTCGTTATTTTTAATAAACGCCCCTAGCTTTTCCGTGGTGTAGTAAATTATTAGAATTATGTACTTTTAGGGGTGATTTTTAACGGACCAAGTGTTGTTTCTTGTGGAGGACTAGTGACTCACCTGTAGAGTCACAAACTATGCTATACGAGGCGTCTAGGATCCGTCATTCATCACTATCCCTACACAGTATAAAATAAAGTAGCTTTCTCTGTTCCTTATATCGCTATATAAGCTTAAATCTTTCAAACTATGCAACGGATTTTGATGCGTTCTTTTTAATTGACAAAGTGATTGAAGAGTGAGGTTTATATTCATAATATAATGACATCTATTAAGTCGTGGAGAAGTTTTGCGATTTTTTTCACCCGTGCGAAGTCGCTTGTAAAAAAAGAAAAAAATCATCATTTTTGTATTAATAACTGTATGAGAAAAAAATATCTTATAAATTAATTGCTTCAACATATTAAGTGTGTTTCACAATAGTTGCTATATACATAGAATATGTATTTATCTTCTTTATATAATTATGTTTTTGTCGTCTTACGAAAATATTCACTTGCTTCAAAGAGCCAGCAGATCACTACAGACGAGGCTCACTAAGGTTGACGCGCGGGTCAGGGTTGCGGGTTAAGCACAATAATTTACCGGGTCAGAGTTGTAACGGGTAGTTTTCATTCACTACTGGCAGTCTGACAGTTCCTCTCGCCTCAAGGCGCAAGGAGCTAGTAGTGACTAGTGAGTGACACAGTCATACTTATTGCATAAGAGTTAGTCTGAATATGAATAGCTAAGTACATTATTTTTCAACACATTTCAAAGTCAAAGTCAAAGTCAAAGTCAAAATCATTTATTCCAACTAAACCATAAATAGGTACTTTTGAAACGAGAAACAAAATAGAGAAGTAGTCTGTCAGTCTGTTCGTCAGTGAAGCTAGGTGCTCATTCCAAATTGTAGATTCGAATGGAGAAGAACGAGAAAGAAACTCCATTAGTTACTCTTTAAAAAAAAAAACGTTTTACAATTTCAATAATATAACATTTATAGTATACTTTTTCCTCACAAAGTGGCTCTTATCCCATGGCAATTATAGAGTAATAGAGTTTTTAAGCTAGAATGTACGCAATATCCGTAAAATGCCTAAAAAGAAAAATATTTTTTAATCTAGTAGGCTCTTTAAGACCCTCGCCTAACAGCTCGTCGCTAAATGCGCCTCAGCGGTGATCACCAACATAACACACTTGTAAGTACCATAATATTCTATTATTAATCAAACATTTACGCGATTAAGGAATTAAATATTATTAATGTAAAAATTTACGCGAGTAAGTGTCGCGAGTTCCTTTACCCCTATAAAAATTGGCGATGCTCCTAATTAAAATATTCGATTCGATTTAGATTAAAGAAATTAATTTTAAAATGTTACAAACTTTATATGGCGATTATTATTACACTACACTTATCGTTAATAATTAACCGGAAACGCTCTTATACTAAAACTCTTGAATTTGTTTTTATCCAAAAAAAACATATAAGTATGTACTTAAATATCACTAATTAATGAATAATATTATTTTTAAACCCACCTTCGTAATTTTCCCTAATACTTATTATTCATTTACTACATTCTACCAACAGCTTCAGCGGCAGTACACGCTAGTAAAATGTAGGTAGCCTGTGTGCAAGCCCAGACTATAAAATCTCTGTAAAAATTTTCATTGATGCAATTGTTGTATAAATAAATAAATGAATAAGTATGGGAGAGCTAAGTTTCGGTTCGACTGGGGTACTACTGCAACAACCACAGCGTTGTGCTTTGCCGTGTCAGCGAGGTTACCACATGCCCGATCCTTTCCCTTCCCCTTTCCCTCTTCAATCCTTAAATGTCTGAAACCCTCATCCCCAAAGCAATGCACTCGTAACTCCTCTGGTGGTGCCGATTGCTTAAGTTAGGTAAACCGACTGCTTGTTTGCCGTTCTATCTTGTGGGTAATTTCTATCGTATTAATTGTAGGAGAGCCATGCTTTGGCACGAATGGGTCGGCTCGACCGAAGGGATACCACGGCCTCACAGAAAACAACCACAGCGTTGTGTTTCGGCGTGTGAGTGAGGTTACCGGAGGCTCAATCCTTCCCTACCCCCAATCCCTCCTCAATCCCTAAATCTCCAAATCCCTAATCCCTAAAAGGTCGGCAACGCACTCGTAACTCCTCCGTTGCGGGTGTCCATGGGCGGCGCTGATTACCATCAGGTAATCCGTTTGCTCGTTTGCCGATCTATTACACAAAAAAAAAAATGTATTCAGCAAATCTATATGTATGATACTCGTAAACATCCAGCACGGTTAGCGCATTGACTTGGTGAGTGATTGGTATTCCTGGTGCCTTGACTTTTACTTGGTTTCCCAAACGAAACAATTCGGTATGTGAGCCACCAATCGTCGATGCGGGTCTGGCACGATTTTTTGAATTTGATTTTAACAAATAGGAACAGTTCAAAATAACCAAACGTAACGCTTTGATTAAACATAAAAACTACTAACAGAACAAACACAATTCAATTATACATATAATGTGAAACCCTTTAAAAAGGTCTATTATCACAGGCGGTTTTAAAGTATTGACTAAACGTTAGCACATTCGTACATAATATTATTCATTACCTAAGTACATCTGTTTAGTAATTAAACTGTAACCAAAATATTTTGATGTAATTTGAAATTAATACATTTTATTAAAAAAAAAAAATTTAACAGTACTTAAGTTTTTTCCGATTTAATCATCGATGTGTCTGTAACGAATAAGACCACATTGTTTTGGTATCTTTACCTAGGTAGGCGATTAAATTGAAAGAGGAAAACCATTAGACCTTGTTTAGGTAATTGCAGATAGTCGACGCTTCGTTCATTTGTCATCCATTGAAGCGACAAACCTCGTCGTAACACAAACACATATGAACATTATGAGCAATGTATGACGGAGAGCAGTGCAGGTCCAGGTTGACCTTTATGTATGTAGTTTTGTAAAATGTAAACATGGAACAATTTGAAAACGTTATATCTCTTGTTTGGGTGTATATTGCATTAAGTTGCCACTCAAATACAAAGTGTAACATTTTCATTTTAGAAAAGTTTTACAATAAGATAATACAGTTTTAGCCACCTCAAATAGGCTAGGGTAGGTTGATATAAATATGTCGAATGCTTCTAGTCATAGTTTTCCGTTGTAGATCTGGTCACGTTCCGTAGAATAAATAGATTCGCGTATCTTATAAAAAAAATCGGTTCACCTCACTGCAACTTTTGTAGCATAATTGAAGACGTGCACAACGGCGTCTTTGCAGTTTGGTAGAGACCGGGAGTACAGCTGATTAGAATTTACAATTTAAATAGAATCAAAGTCTGAGAATTCAATGAAATTTTGTCACGTCTTTTATCAGCATGGACAGAGTTGATCGGAGTTTTACGAGAGTCTCACAGATAACCAGCGTGAAATAAAGCTCACGTTCTTGCTGCCGCCGGAAAACTACACATTCCAAGTGTGGGAGAGCCATGCTTCGGCATGAATGGGTCCGCTCGACCGGAGTGATACCACGGCCTCACAGAAAATCGGCGTGAAACAACCACAGCGTTGTGTTTCGCCGTGTGAGTGAGGTTACCGGAGGCCCAATCTCTCCTCAATCCCTAAATCTCCTTAATCCCTAATCCCTGTAAGGTCGGCAACGCACTCGTAACTCCTCCTTTGCGGGTGTCCATGGGCGGCACTGATTACTTACCATCAGGTAATCCGTCTACTCGTTTGCCGATCTATAACATAAAAAAAACTAACTCATTTAGCGAAACACAACGTCAGTGTTGCTTCACGCCGGTTTTCTGTTAGGCTGTGGTATCACTCCTGTCAAGCCGGCTCATTAGTACCGACCGAATTATTAAGCCTCACACACAGTCTGTTAAATAAATGAATACTTTGAGTTTGTTATGAAACTATTACTCAGCTTCATCACATTATGGAAATCTGAGTCGATATTAATTCGACAGAACATATCCTTTGTACGAAGATGGTTCTTGAACAAAGAGGAGATATCAAATTGTTCATAGTTCGCGAGGAACTTGTAACAAAGTTTATTGAGTTCATAGTATTATGATTACCTACTTTGTGTAGCCGCAAGCGTGCATGTCAGGGGTTGTATTAGTTCTTTGAAATTGGAAAATATAATTGAATATTCCGGAATGTTTGTTTTTACTTTGAATGACTTAGGATTCTGATTTGAATTCAATTTGTTTTAATACTTTTCCTGGGTACGATGTTATCAGCTGTATTTGTATTTTTAGTCCTTTGATTAGCCGTGACGATCATTGTTGTCTGGCAGTTTGACCGAGGAATAACATGTCACCACATTTCTCGAATCTTGACTATAACTAATTTGAAATCCAAGCAATTTTCGTGTGAATGTTTTTCTTTATGATATAGGTCGGCAAAAGAACAAACGGATTACCTGATGGTAAGCAATCAGCGCCACGCATCCAATTACACCTGCAACGCCAAAAAAGTTACGAGTGCGTTGCCGGCCTTTTAGGGATAAGGGTTTTGGATATTTAAGGATTAAGAAGGGGGAGGGGGAGGGATTGGGACTCCAGTAACTTCAACTACTCACTAACATGGCGAAACACTACGCTATGGTTGTTTTACGCTAGTTTACTGTGAGGCCTTGGTATCACTATGGTCGAGCCGACCCATTCGTGCCGAAGCTTGGCTGTCCCACAATCATTATTTTTTATTGATATGTTTTATGTATAGATTAAGAAAACATTCTCTTTCAGACGGGGTCGAAGAATATTCCTGCTGCAGATGTTGATAGTTTGCTTCGTGCCGCACGTGGCCTTGGTCATCCAGAACTGTTCCAACATGGCCCAGCTCTCACAGACTTTAGACTCCTCGCTGTATCTCGATACTGAGGTAAAAAACACTCTTATTTATATGGAAATAAGATAAATAATACAGCAAAAATATCATATTTTGTATATATATATATTTTTATGTGATATTACGGCAAACGAGCAGACGGATTACCTGATGGTAAGCAATCGGCGTCGCCCATGGACTCCCGCAACAAAGAAGGAGTTACGAGTGCGTTGTCGACCTTTTAAGGATTGGGATTTTGGGGATTTAGGGATTGGGAAGGGATTGGGGTAGGGGAAGGATTGGGCCTCCGGTAACCTCACTCACACGGCGAAACACAACGTTGTGGTTGTTTCACGCCGGTTTTCTGTTAGGCCGTGGTATCACTCCGGTCGAGCCGACCCATTCGTGCCGAAGCATGGCTCTCTCACACGTAATAATGTATTATATATTTCTGTCAAAACCATTAACCACACACATTGATCTCTACTCAAATACTTAATACTTGTTAATGATTGCAACACATTATTTAATTTGTTTTCCTGTACTGCATTAACTTGGTTTTGCCTACTGTTATTGCTCATCTTACGCGGAGAAATCCCTGCGAGGTGAAACCCTGCAAAAATCACATTTTTTTTTCCGGGAAAATCATTAACTTGCATTTCTCGCCCTGGGTGAAGTTGAAGTGAATGCCAGACTCTTAGTGACTGACAATCACTCCGCTCCTTCTCCTGCTCCAGTAGTATGATGCATTTTTGCAGATAAATACTCGTATAATATGAAATTATTTTGATATTGATTACCGTACACAGACAAAACTTCACCAAACTGTCGCATTTTACGTTATCGTACATATATTTTTATTCCATTATTAAATTGTTTTCGCTACAAATTTCCTTAATTTTGTATATTAATTATTGACGTATGGACTTTGTTTTCTACAGTTATCCTTAATGTCCTTGTTTCATTCAACATACTAATTAATTAAATTGTTTGAGGATACATGCCATTAAATATTCCCGTTGCTATCGAAGTTTGACCATGTCCACTATTGCATTCATATATTACTTTTATTATACATAAATTATTACCTATAAATCTGGGAGAGCCATGCAACACTGAACTTATGTTTCGGCACAAATAAATCAGCTCGACTTGATTGGCGAAAAATTACATGGGCGGACTGAATACCTTCTTACCAGTCAACCTTAGAGTGATGCAGAGCAGATGAGAGTATGGTAGGTGCAACGAGAAGAAAACTATATACAATGCATTGATACGACGACGGCCTCACAGAAAACCGGTGTGAAACCACCACAGCGTTTAATGTAAAATATACATGACTCCAGATCAGTTATAAATAAAGTATTCAATTGTATCAATTAATATACACGCATACATATTACGTCTTTGATATCTACGTACGTAAATAGGTGTATATTGTTGAGCTAATAATAGATTTAGAAGGAAGGAAGGCAATTTATTATTGTAGAATTAAATTTACCCTTTACGTAGTACAGTGGCCATTGATGATATATTGACTTTTAATGAATTACTGCAATTACCCATTAAAAGCAAAAATTAAGTAATGTGCATATGCCAGGCTTCATTTTTTTATGCTTTGGGGGTTTTGCATGCGAGCCGATGGATTACGTGATGATAAGCAATCGGTGCCGCCCATGTACACCCACAATACCAAAGGAATTCCGAGTGCTGTGCTGGTCTTTTGGAGATTAGGGTTTCGGATATTTGGGACGGGATGAGGCAAGGTAATGTTTGGGCCTCCAGAAACCTCGTTCACACGCCGCTTTTCTGTGAGACGTGTCACTCCGGTCCATCCGACTCATTCGTGCCGATGCTTGGCTTTCCCACACTTAATAGTTATAGGTTGTATAAAATCCTTTGTGTTTTGAATTTAGTATGGTTGACTGTACAGCTGACGCAGTGGTTGTGCTTCCGTCGGCCATGTAACGTGTCATAGGTGGATTCCCGCACGGAACAACTTTCTTTATACAAAAGATATTGTTTCGGGGTGTGATGTGTATATTAAATTGGTATGTTTGTAAACGTACTCACGACACAGGATATACATAGAAGTGGTGGAGAAAAGCATTTGGAAAAATCTCAGTGGTAGAATCATTTATCTTATCCACATTATCATATGGTTAGTTAGTAAGAGTTTGGCATTCCTCTCCCCCCAACTAAGGTGGGTGAAGGAGAGACAAAATATAAGGCGTAAGATGCTTAGATTTGGCATTATATAGAAAAAAAACGTTTCTGCTTTACATAATGTTACGTAATGAAATGTTACCCATTAATTTACTTTCTCTTTAAAACAACAATTACTCATTAATCATGTTCGAAATTTAATTTGTAATAATATAATTTATTCAATTTAATTAATTTTACCTTGTAATAATTAACAGAGTTATTAATGAATTGATGTATTAATAATGATTATAGTTAGGTATTTATAATAATATTGTTTACAGGGTAAAATTAAATAGATTAAATAGAAATTTAACGTAATACGTGTTGTGAAAAGAATTTTAATCATATCAAATAATATATTTGTATACTTTTATCAGTGTTACGAAAAACATCAAAAAAAATGCGCACTTCAGTTTTGTTTACGTGTAGTGGGTATGATTTACGTAGGTTCATTCTTCCTCTAGAATCTAGACTTAAGAGCTATATTTGGTTGTAAGGAAACTCAACGACATTCTAACTAGCTTCACGATTTGAAAAGCTCATAAAACTGTCAAGTCAAAGCATATGCATGTTACATGTCATTTGGAAAGGAATTTTTGCAAATCATTCCTGAAAATGAAGTAGTATTTCACTCTTTTTGGCAAAGCTACAACGCCCTATGTCAGTTAACAGGACTAAAAAGTATAAATATCTTTCGTAAAATAAAGCTAGGATATTCTTGCGGATTTGAAAAACTAAGGCAATGAAAAACTTCGAAACTTAAAGAGATTTACTTAGCTACAAGACGTGTCTAATTGTGTTTTTTTAAATAACAAAAATTAAAAAAAACACAATAAGACACGTTATTTTTTATAATTAATTAGGTGCTAAATCACCAAAGGTGATGCAGACCCTAATTAATTATAAAAAATCTCGAACGGTAAGTGTAGCAAGAAGGATTATCAGACGCCTACTGATTAAAAACCTAACCGGTCCTTCTTCTGCGCCAGGCCGCGCCGCGGCATCTTATTGCGCTTGACCCGAAACCCCGGCCATAGTATAAAGAGAAGGGCAGTAGGCTATCTCCGGCCCAATCCGCGATTTAATTGCCTACTGTCTAAGAGTTGTCACTTTTAGCAAAATTTTAATTCAGTGCCTATATATTGGCAAGGGTCGTTTTATTTTTTACTTGTATGGACTGGGTACAGGGTTTGTGAGGTGTGACTCTTTATGTCGCTAGATGGCACAGGCGGTATCATAGACTAAGAGCTAGTGTTAACATTTTTTTCTCAATGTATTTTTTTAGTTTGTATATTGTATATTTATTTTTAATTAATACAAACGTAAATAATACAAATATAACTAGGTATTAAATCATTCATTTATGACAAAATTACAAATTAGCTGCTAAAATATACTTTCGTCGGTTTCGACTATTACGAAACGCCATGTTATTAAACTTTAATGTGTAATATATTCGCATCCTTATAAATAACTTTTGCAAGTTAAGACACCCAAACACTCAGCAATACGTTCTTCTGCGATTATCAGACATTTCGTTTTGATTTAGCGGTGCCGAAAAACAGTGACGCGCGAACCTCGTGCAGTGTTAGCCCCGACTGGCGCATTGAGAAACGGGTCGAGATTTTGTTACAGTGTGCGTGCGTGCGTCGACGCGTAGATACTATGGCGCACACATACAACACGCACGCGGTGCGTTTGTATGAAGATAACCTACTTCCCTTCTCTTTATACTATGCCCCGGCTGTAGTCCTTAAGGTCCTTAGGTTAGCTTAAGTAACCATTAAGTGAACCTAAATACGGCAGTAAGTTAAAATTAGCTTCTGCGGTTCGTAATAAACTTGGTTATAGTTAATATTTCTTTGTTCAAGGTAAATACAATTTTGATGATGGGAGATCTCATCGTCAGTCTGCAGGATGAGAGACAGATCATCAGCGAGTATCTGCTCAAATCATCAGCAATTGATGTGTAAGTAATATTTTCATTCATTGATGCACTTGTAGATTTACCTACTGGTGTTTGACGACGTTAAGAAAACATAACAAACGATCAATAAGGCTAATAATATAAGGCTAACAGGAATTTTGTAAATATATTCATCAATCCTAATTAAATTGAGAAATTTCTATTTAAGTGACTTAGTTTTAAAATAGTTTTTTTCTATTTTTTATTGGGCCTCCGGTAACCTTACTCATACGGTGAATACAACGCTGTGGTTGTTTCGCTGAAAATCAGCGCCGCGAACCCGTCTCGTACGGGGTCGCTGCATTAAGCTGAGCGTGGGCCATTTCGCGTGCTTGGACGCATATTTTTCTCCTACCGTCTACTTTTGTGATATTGTTTTTACCTTGCTCAATGTATTTTTATTTTAACTTTATTTTACTGTCTTGTTCGTTTTTGTGTCTTTTATGCGTCCCAGACGCGAATAAATACTTTTTCTTTCTTTCTTTCTTTCTTTCACGCCGGTTTTCTGTGAGGTATCATTCCGATCGAGCCGACCCATTCGTGTTGAAAAATGGCTCTCTTGAACTTAATTTCATGTAAAGATTTGAAGTGTACAATAATTATACCTTATATAAAATATAGTAAGTATCGTAATCATTAGTCATTGCACTTGTTGTATGTTCTTAATGTAAATATGGATTTCCATTCATTATTTAATGACAAATCTCTGTGATTGTGGTATTACTTAATAAAACATTAACACAATACAAGTATAACATTAACAAATATTTATTTTGATTTCTTATAATATATATTGTCTTATCTATACTTCTATACTAATATTATAAAGAGGTAAAATTTGTAAGTTTGTATGTAGGGGGTAATCTTTGGAACCGCTGGTCGGATTGCCAAAATTCACATTTTCACTGATAGATAGCTACAATGTTCCTGAGTGCCATAGGCTATAAAACCTCACGCTACTATTAAATGAAGCCGAGCAGCGGGTGAAAACGCGCGAGAGTAGCTAGTGGTGAATAAATCGATTTTCTTTCAATTGTTTGAAGATTTTTTGTCTTTGCTCTGGTAGGTTGGTATGTATAATATTATTTAATTACATGACAGGAACCAGCTATTTAAAATTTTTCGGACGTGCGTTGTTGATTAGTCATACATTGAATCATTATAAAAAGATACATAAATGAGATAATTTGAAAAATGCTATATATACTTACTGGAAAAAATTAATTACGGTGAATTAATCAAAAAATCAAGAACGGGGGAGCCGGTAGCCCTCTCAATACCTTTAATTCGCAAATTCCTAACTCGTAAGCCGGGCAACACACAGATACCTTCTACTTCTTTGGTGTGTTGGATGTGCTATTTCCAAGTGTGTTGTAGACCACAAGTTGCAAGTTTGCAGCCTTTTCCCATAAAAAAAAAGAAACAATGACCTTGATTTTTTGTCAGTCTGTATCATAATTATACGAATTATGTTTGTTGATATATACGTATGTATACCTGTGTAATAAAATACAATGTGACAAAAGTAAAGTTTAACTAATTATGTTATATTACTTACATGAGTATTTGCTATATACAGAAGCTGTTGGTGTACCTTTTTTAGATAAATAAATAAATAAAAAATATTTATTACGAACATTTTATATTATTATCAATCATTTTCCTGCTCTGTAAAGTTTTCCTGGGTCATAGCCAAATTGGTGTCAGTTGATAATAATTATTAAAAATGAGAATAATTTATGTACCTATCATGTATTTTACCCATGTATAACCGTACCTATTCCGAGGTTGCCATGACAACGTCCTAAATCTTTTATATTTATTTCTGAGAATTCCTTCGTATTTAAATATCGTCTTCAGTCAGTTTTTTTATTTATGGAAAAATCGATAGGCTTATGAGTCTTTTTCGCAGTAAAAAAAATACAAGTTCCAAATATATACCTATGCTGAGTGGGTTGACGCGTTTAAGACCTTATTATAATAATAAGAAAGCACTATTTTTGTCAAACTGATTTCTGCCAGTGGATAAAAAGTAGCATATTCCAAATTTATAATCTATTTCTGTATCTATTTTCATCAAAAGCCAAACCACCAGCTTTTACAAACATCCATTTATGCATACTGTCAAACTTTTTATTTATATTATTAGTAGGATTTATTACAGCCAACTTAAGGGAAAAAGTTAATTAAGAAAAAAAGGCGCCTTTACAAATCTGAATAATGTACCTACGATCTGCTCATCCCTTGCTCTCCTACTTTTTGTACACTTGTGAGGATGGAGACCTTTGCCCATAATAAAGATGACTTTTAAAAGAGTTTTTGAATGAGTTCCAATATGCGCGTTGTTAAGATATGCTATTGTAATTCATCAAATTGATTTGATACTGTAAAAAAATCTTTTCCACTTTCTGATTCATACTCAAACCAATCATACAGGCAACGTAAGAATGCAACGTTTTCTTGTATATAAATATTATTGGATTTCAAACGAACAGATGGAATTACCTGATGGTAAGCAATCGGCACCGTCTATGGACACCAAAGCAATACCATAGTAGTTGCGAGTGCGTTGCCGGCATTTTAGATTAGAGAGATTGGGAGAAAGAGGGATTGGGCTTTAGATAACCTCATTCAGACTACGAAACGCTGCGCTATGGGGTTGTTTCAGGTCGGTTTTCTGTGAGGCCGGGGTGGTCGATCCGACCCATCCGTGCCGAAGCATGGCTCTCCCTCAATTTAATTTCAAAACATAATTTGATACGAATTATTTTGCTTTGCTTTCAGAAAGGCTCTACAAGACGCGTTTACGACGTTTGCTGATCAGTTCACTGGTGTTCCTGACATTCAGGACCATTTGATGACATTATAGTAAGTTACATATTGTCTTTAGACCGTATCTTTTTGTTATAACATTAGTTTAAGCTCTCAACGAACCTGTGGTCTGGTTAAGCCTTGCCAAACATTATTTTTTTAGAAAATATTAAAACAATACCGATGCCACGTACACTATACTATCACTACAAGAATATGAGCTAATATTATATTTACATTTATCGACGGTCTACTAAATCAGCTCAAAAACACACCGAGCCGATCTTACAGAATTAAAATGAACAACTCTTTGACTAATCTAAGTGTTAGTCTACACCATCAGCCCTTAATGCCCAATGCTGAGCAAAGCTTTCCTCACAAGGTGAAGGTTTAACAGTAATCACCATGTCTGCTTACAGTGGTTGGCAGAAAGTGTACGTTTAGATTTCTTCACGATGTATTTTTTATTTTATGTAATAGTTCGGCAAACGAGCAGACGGATTACCCGATGGTAAGCAATCAGCGCCGCCCATGGACACTCGCAACGGAGGAGTTACGAGTGCATTGCCGACCTTTTAGGGATTAGGGATTTGGAGATTTAGGGATTGAGGAGGGATTGGGGGAGGGGAAGGATTGGGCCTCCGGTAACCTCACTCACACGGCGAAACACAACGCTGTGGTTGTTTCACGTCGGTTTTCTGTGAGGCCGTGGTATCACTCCGGTCGAGCCGACCCATTCGTGCCGAAGCATGGCTCTCCCACACTTAAATTCATATTTTAAATTCATATGTATTCATTCACCTTACGTGCATAGTATTTAGATTATCTTGGAAAGTTCATACAACTTGGAAAAACCGACGTTGGTAATTGTCAGGTTTCGAATGCTTGAGAAGAGGTTGTCCGAACTTCTGGGCCACCACGACATTTACTATGACTCTTAAGTCACTGTTGTCCGATATTTTAACTAACAATTGCTCTTGTTATTATTGGTCGATACCTACAGATACTAGTCGTTAATATTCATATGCGGTATTAGTATTGATTGCGTTCCCCACTGCCGACCTGTTATGGTCATTAGGTCTTCGTAATTCGGAGAATATCGTAAAATATATACGCGTTGGTATTACTAATACAATCGTGTACATATTTAAATGATATTGCCTTTTGAACCCTGGTAGATTCTTCCAATCGGGTCAACTAAGTTCAAGAGCCAGACTAAGATCCAATTATTTGCAGAATTTTATACAGGTCCATTCAGTAGTTTTGTATATACAAACTTTTTTATTTTTTAGATTAGTAAAATAAAAAAATAATCATATTTTTTATCAGCCAGCTGGTGAGCAAGGAGGTTTCTTGTTAAATAAACTTCTATCTTGCCTCATGTAATAAATAGAGTAAACTTAATTAGATAAGGACAACACGTGGATAGTATTAATGATAACATAGAAGTTTCCAGACAAAAGTAATGGTCTAAACTTATTCATTTCACTCCTATCTATTTACTTAGTAAGTGCAAATCTCGAGAACGGCTTAGTTGATTTTGAATTTTTTTTTGTGTGAGTCCTTGAGGTTGCCGTTGGCAGGAGACGATTCTTACGAAAGAATAATTAAGCCTCGTTCGTTGTTTAGTTAGCAAGGTAGCGGACAACCGTGTGAAGCAGGGTCAGGCCGGTAGTTACAAACAATAACTCGGCCGTTTGCAATTTGTGGGCCTTATTTTTGTAATAAAATTCGTGTGTATGAATAAGGTGAAGCCTTTTTAGCCCATAACTTTTTTGTTATCATAATATCACATATACAGGCATTAATAAACACATATTTTGTATAAAGAGCTATATTTTATATACTCAAGAAGTTTTGTTTACGAAGCAGTTCCTGGTGCGTTAAGAATAACCTTAAAATTTCCCCTTGTACGACGAAACCAGATAACAATGATTATCCTTAACAATTTATATCAATTAAATCGTTGAAATAAAATTAATTGCACTCTTTCCATGCAGCCATTTTAGGGAAGATCTTATAAATATCAAGTAAGTATTATTTTGTTTATACCCGTTTGCCTTTCGATCAGACCTTGATCCAATCTTGGGTCAATACAACTGTACTGTAATTGCGCTGATTGAGTGAATGACTGCTTACCTGTATGTAACGGAATCGATACCCAAATGAGTACATATTTGTTAGAGATCTACAGGTGGTTGTTTTTCTTTAAAATGTGTATAAAATATATTTTTAAGCATTTTTGTAAATCGTTGCCATATCATATCATGATTACCTATCATTTATGATGGCTGCATTTACAAATGTAATATATATTATTATTCCACGTGCATCCAAAACTCGAAACAAAAGATATGTGGATTACACAAACATTGTTTCATGTGTCATTTTGAAGAATTTCATATAAATCTATTAGATCAGTGTTTGATACGAAGCAGAACATAAAACTGATTTCTATAGGGACTCTACTCAAAATGTTTTATACGCAATGCGGGCAAAGGGCGTGAACATTTCAGTGTATTATGCGAACTTTTCGCAATTTCTGAGATATTCGCTTTATTACAAATATCTTCATTGTTTAAATTCAGTTTGGAAAATGTTATTTGAATTTTGAATTTGGAACTGGAATATTATTTAATGGTTAGTCTTTGTAGAATTGACACATACTGTACATATGAAATTTCAATATGTCTTTTTAAATATAATAATGTAAATTTCGAAATAAATCTTTGTGTTCTATATTTTAACGAATCGATTTTTAATATCTGTCTGTAGTTCTTAACGGAAAATGCAAAAATATATCCTTTTACTTCAATTAAACATTGAAAAATCGCTCGCATTACTTTATTTTTTTTTAAAACTTCGCCAATTTTAACACATTTCGCTGATTTAACCCCGGATTACCAATTAACTCGGTAACATTAATACAAACGTTATTTTTGCTGTGTTTTTGTTAAAAACAACACGGCTGGGATTAACAAAAGCTTATTTAAATTTTATTGAATACTTTCGGCTCTCATCGGCTTTGTAAGGGTGATATTGATATGCATAGGGTTGCCGGGAGATCATGTGAAGCCGAAAATAGTTGGGTGTTTTAATTGCTTGTTAGGCAAAAATTACTATCCTGCTTTTTAATATTTGATTGTGTAGATCTCAAGACTCATTTTACGAACGATACACTTTTTATTTATCATCATCATCAACCTATAAGTGCCTACAGCTGAGCAAAAGCCTCTTTTCACATGGAGAAGGTTTGAGTATTAACCGTCACGCTTGCTTAAGATGGATTGGTGATTACAAACTTCTAATTAGAAATTACAAGTCAAGGTTTCTTACTCATTGGTGTCTAAATACGGTTAGAAAGTACATATGACTTGAAAAAGTCATATTGGTACTTGCTAGGTTATGAACCTGCACTGTCATATAAGAGAAGCAGGTGTCTTAACCTTCTGGCTACCACGAAGTCATTGATACCGATATTAACATTTTGGAACATGCGGGTAACAAATTTTTGATAAAGCGACGTGGCAACCCTGGATATGTATGTATAAATTATACTACCAAAATTGTAATGATCCTATTTGATGTAGCTGTTCCGTAGTTGTACACTTAGAAACTAAATAATGTATAAAACCATTTGAGTACATAATATAGGTGACTAACGAGAAACTAGTCGACGCTCAAAGCCCGTAATGTTATATTATTCATTTAAATATTTAGTTGCAAGTAAGTTTTACTCTACAGTTAAGTTAATTAGATATTTAAAATGGAGATTTCCAGTTAAGATACAGTCATATCTTTTGGTTCAAGTAACAAATTAAGTGCTTCATGCGATAGTTTCAATGAAAAATAAAAACACTTGAGAGTATTGTCAACTAAAAAAAATGGGAGAAGGCTTCTGAATATTTTATTATATTCAAAATTCGAACCAAGTTTGGTTTTGAATGAGAAAAATATTTCATCTTTATCGTGCATATACTTGTACTTATACAAACATGCATAAATTATATACCAATATTTCTACACGAAATTAAATTCCAAGAAAAAAAAATATAGTTAAACGGTTCTGAATATCGTATTTCGATTCCTTGTAATTGAAATTATTCGCTGAAATGCTATGACTATTAAATTATTAAAATTACTCTTATCTATATTTCAGGAATTTGAAAGCGGAGGCTTTTAAAAGGACGAGAGTGTATGAAGATATAAATACATTACTACTTCTGAATGTTGCGAGGAATGTCAAAAGTACGACGTCGTCTCTATGGAGGTGAGCATAAAGACTATTTTGCTGTAAATTTAATGAGGGTTTTGACAATTTCCTGTATGAATGTTGACTATTTGTGGGAAGGTTTTTACGAATTTATGTCATATCATTAGTACTACAGACTAACCGAATGCCGGCTACAATTTTAGTCTCTCCGCAATTTTTGAATTTCGATTTTAAGAAATGTTTGATACTGTTTCATAGAAAAATCTGCACTGCACAGAAATTTGGTAAGCAGTTATGAAAATAAAGATTCTTTCAATATAGAGATATAAACGATTATATGTCTAAGCCAATAAATAGTTACATAACTTGATTAAAACCACATGAACATGTTCATCGCGACCTCGGCCTGGAACTGGAGTAGAATCGGGGTTTTCGTCAGTAAGAGATTGACACCCCCTCCAACTGTAGGTACCCCGAGAGATGTCATTTGACGATTTTCCTCTACACTAAAAAAATTACATAAAGTTTCACAAAAAAATTATAAGTTCGGTAAAAATCTGTGGTAGGTATTTGACAGCTATTTGGCCCTGACGCATTGACCATGCGCCTGGCCGCAGAAAAAGTACCGAAAACCCTAATTGTTATAATAGTGTGTATGTCAATTAATTAACACGAATTCCTAAAAAACTCTTCTACGTAAGAAAACTGTAAACAAATCTACGAACTGTTACTCCTATTTGCGTAATATGTTGAGAAACAGAAAAATATTATAATAATCAGTATGTTATTACAACTAAACCACAACCAAAGCCCGTTAAAATGACTTTTCTGTGTAAATATTTTTGTTTGTCTGTGTTTTAAATCCTATTAAAATGAGTTGTCCATTTTGATATTTTTGTTTACTCTACGTGTGTGTTTTACACACCGCAGGATTCATTTGTTTTCGTTACTTGTTTTGCTGTAATTTTTACGCAGCTATTAACTCATTTCAGAGGCCAACATGAATGAATTAAATCTTAATCCTAAGTGAGTTGGTAACTGTTTCCTGGAAATCTGACGTAGAAATTATCATATACCGCCAAGTTGGCGTGGCAAAATTGAATTGATTATATTATTATTATTAAATCACTTGCTTTTCGTAGTGGCCTGGAGGGTAAGGCGCTCGTTAGTTATACACGAGAGTACAGGTTCGTTACCTGCCAGTACCAATGTGACTTTGCAGAACCATTGTTCGGCAAGAATGGGTCGGCTCGACTGGAGTGATACTACTACGAACAACCACAGCGTTGTGATTCGCCATAGGAGAGAGGTTAACAGAGTTCCAATCCTTCCCTTTCCCCAAGCCATCCGGAATTCCAAAATCTCCAAATCCCTTATTCCCAAAAGATCGGCAACGCACTTGTAACACTGATTGCTTACCATAGTAATCTAAATATAAGTTTAAAATCACCAACTCACCTCAAGCGAGCTTTGTAATTGATGCTCAATTTTTCGGGGTTGAGTAGAACTAGAGAGCCATTTCCTCTTACTGCGAAGCAGTGATGTTCGCAAAGAAGGAGGCGGAGTTCGTGATGGAATTCTCTGCAAGCCCAACCCGCCGCAGTTTACGGAGACCAGCATTCCATGCGCGACTCAAAGAGCCATTAGACTACCACAGATGGGACGCAACAGGGTCGATGTTAAGCCAGGGTGACAGTGTAAGCGCAATAAGCTACCGCGACGTCGTCCTAGAACGGTAGAATAAATTTGATGATTTTCTCTTCTCAAAAAAGGGTTGGAATAAGCATGGTAATTTATGCCTAAATTTTCTCTGTAATCAAATAGACTGGCCTCGGCAGTGGATATTTACAGGCTGAAGATGTAAAATCAAATTACTTATTCGGTGTAGACATGCCAATTGGCATTGTAGAATTCATATATCACTAATCTTACCGCAGGTACTGAAATATCCGACTAACTAACTAACAAAACGTTTTGGGAGCACATTTATTATGCGTACAGCCAAGGAGTGGAATTCCTTGCCGGAGTCGGTGTTTCCTGATAGTTACAATCTGGGTATCTTTAAGTCAAGAGTGAATAGGTTACTTCTAGGTAAGCGCGCTCCATCGTCGACCGCATCGTCGCTTTCCATCAGGTGAGATAGCGGTCAAACGTGAACCTATAATTAATTAAAAAAAAAATAAAAATAAAATAACTGACTAAATTTGACAGAGAACAGATTGCAGCGGTCTCCGACAAATCAAATGTATTCTTGCGATCTAGAATACGCCTGCATAACTCGGAGGTTACGACAAACAAATTTTGTAGTGTTCCATCGACTGCCGCGGGCTGTTTGATTTTCTTACAAATAGACATTTGATACTTGTCTTGTAAGATAACCCTCTCACAATGTTGGTCACACAATGTTTATTAAGAATAATTTTGTATTTAAAACTATTTATAAGCAATTATTTGTTCACACACATTTAACTTTTTTACAACTTTGGCAATGGCAAACACCTGGAGAAGTCAAGTCAAAATCATTTTCCACAGTAGGCACGTAGGAACGTCAAGCAAAACAAAAGAAAAAATATGTATTTCAAGAGGTTTAACTTTATGCGTGTGAATCTGTCCGTCTGTCCTCTAGTGAAGCTATTTGCTCGTTCCAAAGTGTAAATTCCTATGGAAAAGAACGAGCAGGAAACTCCGTGGTTAGTCTTTTTAAATCAGTTTTACAATTCATTTCTTTGTTACAACATTTAGTCGGTTGAAAGTCAGACTCTTACTATCTAAAACCCCCCTCTGTTCTATCTCCTATTCTAGGGCGAAGCCATGGTGCGTTATTATGCTTACTCCGCAACTCTGGCTAAACTATAGGGTCCTGTCTCTGGTTGTCTATTGGCTTTTTTGTGTTTTAAATTGTCTTACGAGTACCTTATCGGCCTTCTATCAAAGTTTGGAGGTTTAGGGATTGGTGAAACACAACGTCGTATCACGTTGGTTTTCTGTGAGGCCATGGTATCATTCAAGCTCGAGACAAATCATGACTCTCCTACACTTTGATTTAGATTTAGACTATAGTCATACAGCTTGATTAGTGACTATGCAAACTAAACGTGTATAGAAATTATCAGGTTAATCGGATGAAAGTTTGATAATTTAGTTGCTAGATTCCACTTAATAAATATAAATATATAGAAAGTAAAATAAAAGCTTGTAATAAAGTTGCTCTTATATAAAAACTTAACAACTATGTCACATAAATAGTTTTATAACCTATAAAACAGTCATCGGGGTTTATTGCCGCCTCGTGGGCAAAAACCACGAAATGAAATTTGGTCTTTATTTATGTGTAACTTAAACTTCAAAATCAAATAAATAATGTAATATAGTACATATTTTCGTCACGTATTTTTCGTTTGTATTATACAGTATTTTATTAGGGTAAAGATAGTATTTATATACATTAAAATAAATGCCACTTTTTGTTGTAATGTTACAATAACACTTTTACCAATATGGCTAACTTTGATCTTGAATTATTCGTGGAAGTTAAGAAAACGTTTTTACGTAGGGAAAATAAAAATAAAACTTGAAAAAGTGTAAAATTGATACCCGCGCGGGCGATAGCATCATTTAACATTTATGTTTAAGTTATTATTTCTCGTATTAGGAGACCTATATCGCTGCGAACGTGCCGGATTAACCAAAGTCACCGGAGTGTTACTAGAGTCGAGCTTGCCACAACCCCCTCAACTCTCTGCAGCTCCAGTAAGCCTGATTCAACAGAAGATAAAATAAAAACAGAGAAAACGCCGAAACAAGTCAAGTCCACCTGCAGTGTGATTCTCTAAGACTTTATTCTAAACTTCGAATCTGAATCCGCTGTGAGTAGTAGTACACTAGCGCTATACTTTCGAGTTGAACTAAATTGACAGCAACATTTTGATAGATAAAGTATGAGATGACGTTAAAAGTGACATTCTTAAATTTAATTTGCCCGTCACTCCAAAGCTCACTTCGCACTCGAACACGATTCGAAATCAAACAAATTTTATAGAATCGATGTGCTGGTCCCAGGAACATAAACAACCATCGTTGATCCCACAACGAAATAAATCAACAGATATAATCAGAGGCAAAGAATAATAAATACCAAGGCGGAAAACCAGCGTGAAATGCTTACGTTGTATACTTAAGTAAGGTTACACTGAGAGCCCAATTCCCCCCCCCCCCATCTATCACCAATCACCAATATCCAAATCCCGAAACATTTTAAGCCAAAAGATATTTATTTTGTGAGCATAGTTGGGAAACTTGGCACAGGGCTTTCTACCGATTGTATTGATAAACTAGGCGATATTTCAAATTTGGAGCATCCTCTAATGACGGCCATGCGTGAAGAAGAAGCGAAAGAAGTAAGTGAAAATCGTGACTTGCAAATCCTTTGTCTACGCGGAGCCGTTTGTTAATCTATCCCATAAAAACATTTCTGCCCACTGTTGGCCACGTGTAAAGAAAATTAGAACCGATATGGCGGGAGTAACGATTTCCTAACCAAGGAAATCCTAACCTTACCCACATAGCGAAACACATTATTGTAGTTTCCTGTGACCGTGGTATCTATTTGGTCGAGCTGGTACGTTCATTAAAGCATGGTTCGCCCACTATATAATTTAAGTTTTTTTAAGGAACTCTGTACCACTTATGTTTAAAAATCATTTTGAATTGTCATCGTCATCGTAGTCTGACTCTGGAGTCGTCATTGCTTGTCGATTATAAATATTTTGGAAGACGACAGTCAGACACTCATTATGACTAAACATATTAACAGTAGGTATGTTTCTACAACTGTTTACTAGTATGTACGTTCACTCACCACAATTTTAATAAATACCTACAGCAAAATCAAAACTTAATAAATTCTTGACCACAAAATATAATAAAACGTGTTATTAGTCCGATGTAATTTCCCCTTGTGGTGAAAAAACATGTATAGGTACTCCGTTGCTTCTAGTGAATAATGATCGGTTCTTTGGCTATTTACGGTTAATAGGTATTATTACTAATTAAAGGTACGTGGCATTAATTGTCGTGGTGGCCCGGAGGTTAAGGAGCCCACTTCTCATGCATGAGGGTGTGGGTTCGATACCTGGCAAGTACCAATGTGACTTTTTCCGAGTTATATGTACTTTCTATGATTATTTAGTCACCACTGACATACGGTGAGGGTAAAACATCGTGAGGAAACCTGGACTTATAATTTCTAATTATAAGTTTGAAATCGCCAACCCGCATTGAGCAAGCGTGGTGATTAATGCTCTAACCTTCTCTGTATGAGAAGAGGCCTTTGCTCAGCAGTGGGCACTTATAGGCTGATGATGATGATGATGATGAAAGGTACGTGGGCAACTTTTAATTAGTGGGCGTGCTCCATCACCGTTTATCACCATGCGAGATGGTGAACAAACTCTGACCTAGGTATTGCATTTGGATAATTGATATAAGATTCTCAGAAAGGATCAAAGTGAAATGCCTACTTGAATTAATCTATTATTCACATAATACGGTAGTTTCCAACTAGTCTAATTCAATACTTTTATCCAAAGTCAGAAACGATACTTTTCTATGAAATCCACCAAATTATGACGTTGAATTATGAATTAGTTAGGTCTTTAGCGGCAAATAGCTTACTTATTTCTTAAAAATTAGCTAAAATCTATCAAAATAAATTCGAATATAAAATGGAATGTGTATGCGGACACAGTGCATACATCCATTCCGTTTATCAGATTCCCGAGATGATCAAACATGCCTTACATCAACTAGTTACATTTTCAAGCATTACCTTTTTTGCAGACAGTTGTCAGCTTGCGCCGATCTTCTGAGATCCAGAGAAGAGTTGTCCTTAGCTCTGACGTCACATTCCTACTACATACACATAGAAGAACTGGATTCAATAGCCATAAGTAACGTACAAACGCATTTAGACTCTGGGAGAGACAGCTTAAGGTCTACAATACAATATTTGGAGACAGAAAAAAATGTAAAACAAGTCGACGAGTTGAACGAAGTTTTGATATTGTAAGTATTGTACCTATTGTTTCAAAAGTATTTTTTTATCGTTTTTTTTTTCTGCACATTAGGATTCTCTTCCATGTCGTGGGAGCGTTTACAAACATACAATTTTACATACACAACACACAACACATCCAGACCTAGAACACCAATTATTTGTGGCTCACAAAAAGAGTTGTTCCTTGGGGGATTCGTCCTGCGACACGTTTCGTGGCAAGTTGCTGAGCCACCGCGACAGCCATGCAGTCAAATAATATGCAATGTTGTTTTATTATTTAGAAAGAAAGGTTTGTTCGATACGAAGATAATAATTTCAAAGCTGTTCTTTTAAATAATTATTTTTGTTATTCATAATTCTATTATTATAAAAACCTGTATAAGGATTCGAAAATAGGGAATCCCAAATTATATCTTCCTCTACCGAGACAAATCTTGAATTGCAAATCTTGAGAGTACGAAAGCATTGCATATGGTCTGAATATATTCAAAGATAGAAACACAAGAGCCAATTTGTTGCTTGAGTGCGCTTCGTACAATTCTAATGTCTATTTTCTTGGCAAAAGTTTTCAATGCTCAATTGTTCTGTGACCAAAGTCACCGACATAATAGGTGACTCATGTATTTGTTTACAAGCTTCGACTGACTTTACCAGTACCTATTAAGATAATAATTCTCTAACATGGAGTACGTGTGGTAAGTGTGGGAGGGCCATGCTTCGGCACGAATTGACAAGCTCGACCGGAGCGATATCAAGGTCTCACATAAAAACCAAGCCTGATACCACAACAGCGTTGTGTTCCGCCGTGAGAGCGAGCTTGGCGGAGGCCTTATCCCCCCTCCCTTCTTTCTTCAGTCCTTAAATCCCCGGAACCCCTTATCCCTAAAACAGGGACACCGTTTGCCGGCTGCAAACGGTATCCCTGTTTTAGGCATGGGCTGCGTCGATTATCTTGTCCTGGACTAACGAACATTAAATTTAATTATCAAGTATATTTTATATTAACAAAAAATAGTTTGACACTGCACCATAAATTTTAAACCAAAGTTTGGAGCCTTGAATCTGATGGTAAGCTTAAGCTTAGCAAACCCACAAACCAGATCTCAGAAGTGCATCGCTTGTCTAGCCATTCCAAGAAATTTTGACCAATAGACGTCAAGATTTATTTTTTAACACAATTGAATTATTTATACATACTTACTAAAACTTGATTTGACAGACATATGAGTCAAAATCTATTTTGCATTCATTACTTTCTCCAAATGAAAGACATGACCGGGTCATTACAAAAATAAATACCAAGCGATGACCCATCCTTCGGGTAACTGGTTTTACCGTTATTTCTAGGTAACCAAGTACCGGCGCAGGCGCCGACGATGTGCTAACTTGTTTATGTTTATACAGCTACATAATATATGCACATTGACATTTATATATTGACCCGTGTTTTATTCTCCAAACCTTTTGGGGATTAGGTATTTGGGGATTTTGGGATTGGGGAAGGGGAAGGATTGTTGTGTTTGTTTTTGATTGGAGTGTTTCACGCCGGTCTTCTGTAAGGCCCCACGGCCTTATCAGTTATCACTCCGGTCGAGCCAACTCATTCGTGCCGAAGCATAGCTGTCCCACACTTGCAATATTAATCTCATTTTAAAGTTATGTGTTGTTTGGTTTCTAGTTTTGAAGAGTTAAAGAAAACCATAGTGAACCAGCCGAGGATCGAACCAACAGCCGCTAATATCAGCAGATATTTGTATACAGATGTAGACTGGTATGCTTATCTGGACAAGATGAGGGTTGTTCAACAGGACCTCTGGGTTGTAGTGGGGTGAGTTTTTTATTATTTAACAATTCAACGTAATACTAATTTAGGAAAATGAGTGAATACATGGAAAATAACAAAATACATCGTTCTATGAATATCTACACTAATATTATAAAAAGGTAAAATTTGTAAGTTTGTAAGGTTGTATGTAGGGGATTTCCAAAATTCTTTCATTGATGGATAGCTACAATATTCCTGAGTGCTATAGGCTCTAAAACATCACGCTACGTTTAAATGGAGCCGAGCAGCGGGTGAAACCGCGCGGGAGTAGCCAGTTTTTAAATAAAGTGGCCTTGCTAAACTCTGCATAATTGTACTGAATATCGCCATATTAAAATATCTAACTAGGCTTTAAGGTATAAAGGCTGTAGTTACAATCACTTCATCAGCAAGTTAGTTAAATATAAACAAAATATCTTTCAATTTTAAAGGTAAACATTACAAGACTTAAGGATTGATGATGAAATAATGCGAGTAAAGAATATTTCTTTGACATTCCTAATAGTGAGGTAGATATTTTATCCATTGAAGTGCAAGCAATGAAGTATCACGGCCAGGCTTGGGCCACAAGTCCGAAGGAGCTGTGTTTTAGTCACTAAGAGTTTGACACTCCCTATTGCCCTTGATATTTAAGATATTGAAAAATATATGTATACGTATATATTTCAGCAATTCTCATAAAAATCTTGGATTGTAGAATAATGGTGTGCGTGACAATAAACAGGCACAGGATTCCCCACTTATGACAAAAAGAAGCGGAGGTACTGGCTCGATGGATATCATTTCCCACTGACCTATATCAGGAATTCATTGTAGAAGGGGTGGTGAGAAGATGATGTTTTGTGGCTGAAATAATAATGATGATCGTAAAAACATTTGCAGGTCTTCAGGTCGGCAGGTGGTTTGGGTGGCGCGGCGTACGCTGGCGATTGGCGTCGCTATCCTCGCACTCGTCCTTCTAGCCTCGCCTGTGATGTTGTTGCTACTGCGTCACATTGCCTACACTATACAGGTATGGTAGCTTCTAAGATCTAGTTAGATTACAAGAGACTATAGCTATAGCTCCTGCGCGTTTTTTGGATCGTCTCCTATTGGGCGTAAGGTAAGGTTTAATGTTTTGAATTAGTAGTTCCAAATGTTAGCCGGTTCAACCAATCAAACAACAAACAAACTAAAGCCGTATAGATACAAGGTATTGGATCTAGGATTAAAATGGAGAATTTTAATCTCGTGATACATGAATAACGTATTGATGTAAATATACATTTGTAAGCTTAGAAGGTAAACAAATTCGCTATTAGATGGGACAAGCAATTGATTTATCGCTAGAACATACATTAATCAATTTTAATAATTAGTGATTGCACATTTGAAACCTTATGCAGGTAAGGTTACAACTTTAAGATTTTTCATCATCAATGCTGACTTGAATATAAACCATCTAAACGATAAGTTAACGATCATTAATATAAAAAAATTGTTGGCTACGATAAACGCTACGACTGTAATTTCGTAGCATTGATCTGTTTTTTTTATTAAGTTTTTTACATGACGAATTTTATTTATATTAATTTTTTCTTGCTTTTCAAATGCATATTTGCATATTGTTAAGTGATTCATATAGAGTCTATAATTTAGAATAGCTACTTTTGTAAAATGACACGGATAATAATATATTATAGTATTTCAAGGAAAAAACCACTTAAATATCATTATTAATATTTTATTGGTCAATTATGTATAATTAGCATGTTGATTTTAGAGTATTTTGATAAAGCAACATAAATTCACTGCGAATATATATCATTGAAGATAAATGTTACATCAGATCGAATCACAGCATCTGGAACAAAAAAGTATATATATTTTCTTCAGGCAAATGTAAAATTACACTCCAGGAAAGAACTTCTTTAGCTTACTAATTCCATTTGAGCTCCATAAATTAACTACATGATATATACAACATATTCACTTATACTAAGTGAATTTGTTGTAGTACTATATCAGCCTTCCTTTTTAATCACTCCATCTATCAAAAAACCGCATCAAAATCCGTTACGTAGTTTTAAAAATTTAATCATACATAGGGGTATAAGGAGAGAGAAAGCGACTTTGTTTTATACTATGTAGTGATTAGATGACTTTGCATTATTATGGCACTTGCATTATGCTTTATTAAGTGTGGGAGAGCCCAGCTTCGTCACGAATGGGTCTGCTCGACCGGAGTGATACCACGGTCTCACAGAATACCGGCGTGAGACAACCACAGCGTTGTGTTTCGCCGTGTGAGTGAGGTTACCGGAGGCCTAATCACGCCCTTTCCCGTATCCTTTCCCGATCCTTATATCGGCAACCCCTATCCCCAAAACTCGCACTCCTTTTCTGTTGCAATGTTCATGGGCGGCGATGATAGCTTACCATTAAGTAATCTGTGTGCTAGTTTGCCGACTTATACCATAAAAAAAACATTCGAGCTTATGTGTTTCGCCGTGTCAGTGAGGTTACCGGAGACCCAATCCCTCACCGTCCCCCATCCCTTCCCAATCCTTACATATCGGAAGCCTTTATCCCTAAAAGGCCGGAAACGCTCCTTTGGTGTTGCGAGTGTTCATGGGCGGTGGTGATAGTTTACCATCAGGTAATCAGAGTGTTAGTTTGCCGACCTACACGGTAAAAAAAGGTCGCTGATGGAACTTGAGACTACCTATCAAACTAAACTATTATTTGATCATTTCAAATGTAAAAGCTACCAATTGAAAAGGAGCAGAAAATTAAAAAATACCGACATAATCAGATCAATACTAGTTTATAGTAATCAGATCAATACTAGTTTATAGTAATATTTAGATACAGACGCAATAAAAGTCAAATGTTATGATCTCAATAATATTCATCAGATGTCTTTTAATTATAAATTTATATTCAAAACTTTGTCACTGAAATAACACTTTTATTATTTTATTTTTATTAATGAAAACGTGACTCTACACGTGACCAAGGTTTTTTGCAGTGTGGTTGGTAGGTGCATGTAATAAACAAATAAATTAACACATCACATTCAGATCTGTAACAACAATCTGTGCATTACATTAAGAATGTGGTCCGTACGGAAATTGAATCCATGACGTAGCAGTGTAGTCGAGTAACCAATTATTGTTATTATTGTTTTGTAATAATTATGTTGTAACATGGACGGAGACGTTAAAACGGGACCTTTATTTAAAAAAGGTGCTTGTTTCACTATAATAAAGTAGATAAAAAAGTCTAATAAGGCTTTAGTTTTTATCAATAACCGATTTAAAATAAATCTTTTATTTTTTCACGGACCAATCTCGCACGTGCGTACGGATTTATTCACATAATGACTTCACAAATTAAAAACTTAAAACATCGACCCAAAGCATGTAAATGCAACTAATAAGAATAGTTATTAAATCGAAATAATATTACAAAATGATAAAGCTACTCACTCCTTTCGTGAAGCACTGGTCACCGACCCGTATGTGTCCAGGAGGGCACTTTACTAGTTTCGTGAACGTCCTAGCGCTGGCGAATCCAATTGCCAACGCAGACAGAACGACCAACAACATATAATACACCTTCATCTTCACAAAATATACCTACGAATGATGACATATGACACAAGAAAAGATCTTTATACAAAACTCAAACATAATTTAGTAATAATTTAATATCAACGAACAAGTTCTCGAAAGTTTATATTTAACTCCAAGGACGCGAGCTCGTTTCTGTATACATATTTATATAACTATGTAACTGAGAAGTGTTTACAAATGGACGCTGTTCAATGTACCTATTTGTAGATAGCTATGAAAATAGATTTGTGTGGCCTTATTAGTGCGAAGGAGATTTAATTAAATTGGCGAAAATGTAAGGAGCTTTATATATTTAGGAGATTGCCTATAGAGAATTTAAGTAGTAACTATAAAGCACTAGAATAGATGGTGCTTTATCATTACTGTTCTATCGAGAGGAATATATATTTTCTTTTATATATGTAAGTACCTAAATTAAGTTTAAACATATACTTATTCGAGCTTAACTTCGAGGTGACTATTCCCTATAATGCCATGGGTCCAATATAAATAGGTCATTCACTGCACCGGTCGAATATAGGGCTCGGGTCTGATTCTGCTCGGCGGTGAACAAGTGTAGATCGTCGAACGCGACCTGCGCAAACGGTGGCTGGAGATCGAATATAGAGACAGATATTATGTAATCCTACACCATTTAAACGATATAATATTTGGCCAAAGATTCTCTCTATAGATTTTACACTATCGAACAGTGATTAAGTTGCTTAATTTCATTCAAAATTGAAGATCGAGAATTGGAGATTGGAAGGAGAATACTTTTATTTTAACAAGTTAAATGATCTTTTCTTAATTTTTATTTCACTTTATTTTTTAATAATTACAGTTTCGAAAATGTTTCTATAAACGAAACTTGCCGACAGAAGTTATAGAGGTATATTTAGAATAGTTATTTTATCATTTTATGTTTTACTAGCTTTTACCCTCGACTCCGTACGCGTGGAATGTGACTTCCTGCAGATTTTTGGTATAAAAACTAACCTATGTCCTTTTTCCAGTTCCAAACTATGTCTGTAGAAAATGTCACAGAAATCGGTTCAGTAGTTTAGGCGTGAAGAAAGGACAGACAGGCAGACAGACAGATAGAGGTACTTTCCCATTTATAATATTAGTTTGGATTAACAACATTTTTCTCATTCCATTATTTTATTTCGTTACGTTACTAGAAATATTGCATAATAATATATTCAGCTAAACCAGTATTGTGGTTTGTTTGTGAGTAATAATTAGTCGGAAATAATTGTGCGTACCTAAATACACACATAACACAAGCATAAATTTTTGACACTCGACATATTTTTTTTTGATCTTTTTTAAAAATGTTACCCCACATTAGGATTTAGTCCCTTTCCCCTCCCCAAATTCCTTACCAATCCCAAAACCTCCAAATCTCTAATCCATAGAAAGTTGGCAACGCACTCGTAACTCCTCCGTCGATGCGGTTGTCCATGGGCGGCGCTGATTGTTACCCATCAGGTAATCTGTTTGCTCGTTTACCGATGTATTACCATAAAAAACCGTTTGCTGCTGAGATTGACTATCATATAATATCTTAAGGACAAACGCAGGTATTTTTGATCTGCATATAATAGGTACAAAAATACCCAATAAAAACAAAAAACAATATACTCATAAGAACATATAATTTTTAATCGGATTTTTTCTAACAACAAATACAAAGGTATCATAGTCATGGGAAAACCGTTTTGTGCAATAACAACTAGCTCAGAAATTTTACAAATGCGTCAAAGGGAAGAAATATGCGTATTAAATTGACTCATATAGGTTTTAGTATGCAGTAGAACATTATAAAATCCTCCTACATTCTGAGATTAAACAAACGTAGAGAGCTCAAAATATAAGATTTGATTACGCTTGTGGCTTTGTACGTACCTAGCCTAGCAATCATTTTAAATGTGGGAGAGCCGTGCTTCAGCACGAACTGGAGTTATACCACGGTTTTACAGAAAACCGGTGTAAAACAATCACAGTGTAGTGTTTCGCCTTGTTAGTGAGGTTATCGGAGGACTTAACCTTCCCCTCCATCCTTTATCAATTCCTAAATCTCTGAAACCCTCATTCCCAAAGCCAACGATGTACTCGTAACTCCTGTACTGTTGCGCATGTTTATGGGCGGCGCCCATAGCTTATCATCATGTTGATTGCCGAACTACCACATAAGAAATGATGTCAGTCAATTTGAAAGTCAGGAAGAAAACCATTCTCTACTTCTCGATCGCAGAATGTCTAATAACACAGTTGACAGACTCATCATCATCATCATCATCATCATCATTATCATCCTATAAGTACTGACTGCTGAGCAAAGGCCTCTTTACATACTAAGATTATTAATCACCACGCCTGCTCAATGCGTGTTGGCGATTTCAAACTTATAATTAGAAATTATAAGTCCAGGTTTCCTCACGATGTTTACCTTCACCGTATGTCAGTGGTGTCTAAATAATCATAGAAAGTACATGTGGGTGCGTCCACATCTGGCGAATGTGCCGCGAATGCGCAGCTCGCGAGCCGCTCGACCTGAACGCCGTTCGCGATAAGCGCGCGGGCGGCGCGCTAGTTATTAAATTATTCATAACTTACCCGCTCAGTTTGTTTCTGATTACTGGAGGTTAAGTGCGTGTTGTCATGGAGTGGACGGAGGAGAAATGTTAACGCTTAATTGAAACGTATAAAAGATATCCAGTGTTATGGGATCGTAAAGATAAATAATACTATAGAAAAAATCTAAAAAATAGGCGAATACTGAGTGCGCGCAGATCGTGCGCGGCTCGCGCGCTCTATACGAGCCTTGCATGAGCTGCGCTAAAGAGGCGCACCAAACCATTGCAGTGATTGCACGCGCGCAGCTCGCGGGCATGTCGCAGTCGGCTCGCGAGCTGCGCATTCGCGGCACATTCGCCAGATGTGGACGCACCCTAACTTGGAAAAAGTCACATTGGTACTTGCCAGGTGTCGAACTCACACCCTCATGCATGAGAAGCGGGCTCCGTAACCTCCGAGCCACCACGACATAAATGACAGATTGCAGTCATTTAATTTCCTTCCTCCTTAAATTTACTATTTAACAACCTTTAACGTCTTTTTGCTAACTTGTCAATAATACCGTGAAAATGTTGACGCATCATCAAATCCCAGTTTAAACTGTACTTGCAATTTTCTGGTATTATAATGAAAAATTTGAACTAATATAAATTCGCGATTTATAATGGTTAAATACTTAAAATAAATAACTTTAAAATTATTCTTACTTACCTACTACTCACTTAACCTTTATAAAGCACCTGGTTAGGACTAGAATAGAGGTTAGGACCAAAATTGTTTACAAGGACGGAGTTTTTGTATGTGTGAAATGTTGTGCGGTTGTATGGTGAAGTCGCGATGAAAATCGCTTTGGTACTTTGCACACCGAACAACAATTGCTTTTTGTTTTTGTTTTGTGAGGGGAAAATCATCAAATGATTTCTCTCGCCCAGGGTTAGACGACCCTTACTGACTAAAGACCCCTACGCAACCTCGTCCGAACATCGGCCCTTTCAGGCTCCATCTGTGGTGGTCTATTGGCTCTTAACACCTCGCCCCTAAGCTCTAGGGAAAAACTATTGCTGCAACTGGAAACTAGTGCCGTTACTTAAAATTTGGTCTGTAAACACGTAGTGACTTGTTTTGTTTAGTAGTGGTCGACAAAGTTTTCAGTAGCTTTAATCGATGACTATTTTAGTTGCTAATTGTGGAACTAGCAACTCTTAAATATCATACATACCGGTTTTTTTAAGTTGCCGGTGTTTTCCACCGTCATTCGGTGCTAAATGCGTGAATTGCGCTACTCGGATATGGAAGTTGCTTGCAAATTGCTACAAAATTGCAGCAAGCGGAAACGTTAACCTATAGGTTGCATAATTATCTGCACTTTGGTTGCTCCATGAGCCAAACCCTAAACAGCTTTTCTTGAAATAAATTAACAATTTCATACAAGGTATTATTAGAAATAGTATTTTATCATCACGGCATAGATCCAGAATACTTTCAGAATTGTACGTTCTGATAAGTTCATCCGTAACTGGGTAGATATTAACCTCTTTTTTTTAATATATAATCTTTTATTTTACTTATATATAAATAAGTGTAGTATATTTGCGAAGTGGCTCTTCCTCTTACATATTTCTTGATTTTATCCGATCATTTTCCTCTTCAACGTATATTCATCAGACTTCCTTGTCATTCATGTACTATGCAACATTTCTTTTCCTTCTAGAAAATAATTACCGTGATATAAGATTGTATTCGATAGGTAATTTTAATTATTTGCGTCATCAAATACGTCACACAGGTTTTATTAATGAATGCAATACTGAATACAAGATATGCATAATGACACACATACATATGTACCTAATATGTATATATGTATATGTATGTACATAAGATGCGACTTTTCGTTGTACTTTTATAACTCAAGAATGGGCTAACCTATCCAAACTAAATGTTAAGATTGCAAGGTCTTTGTAATGACTGTATAACACTGTAGATGGTGTTTATGAATTGTGCATAAAATCGGTATCGAAGCACATAACAAGTCATAAGTGATGTAAATAATAATATATAATATGGTTCCTTTTTGAAAGGTTAAAGTCCAACACCTATCGCCCAGGGTCGGTATGAGAGCGAGTGATTTTTATTAATTGAAGCCCACCTCGTATCATTGCGTTTGCTGCCAACACGCACTTTTAATATTCACTTTAAAACATTTATGAGTTTCGAGTCCTAGGTAAATTCCTACGTTATACCGGGCTCCAATTCTACATTCCGTGTTTCTTGGTGAATTAGCAGTCTGCACGACGTCCCCGCGACGCGATGTTTATCTTAATTCCTTGTGATATTGCTTTGCTAAGGTTAGCATATGAAAAGGATTCTTTCAGGAGAGGTTAAACAAATATGACTTTTTATATCAGTAGTATTTTATTTACTTATTATAATGTATATCTTAGTTACATAATACAACTTAAAATTACCGTCAATAGGTTAAGTCTGCACAGATATTTGGTGTACAGGTAAGAAAATAACTACTGAACCTTATTCTATCTATTGTTTTAAATAATTATGTAAATGATTTGTAAAGCCACATCTATTGCACAATTCAAATCATTATGTTCCTACTTGCATACCAAATAACTTTTCAGACTATAAGTAGTACATAAATGGCACAACATATCTTTTAAAGTTTAAAAAATAACAATACTTGTTCTTTTGTTTAGTATTTTTGTCACAAACAACGGTATAATATACACCGTCGTTAGTGAGAAACTCTAACAGTCAACCATTGGAAACTAATGCGAAGTAAAGCAATTGGAACAAATCTCAATCGCAACTTTTTCTAAGGCCTAAAGTATTTATACCTTGTCATTAATACTAATTTGAGAACTGTAAACGGTGAATTCAAAAGGTTATTTGAGGCGAAACTCCGCAATTTTACAGTCAGCCTATTTGCGGAAATAAATTAAATTAGCATTAAATACACATGTCTCATTTTAAGTTCTACTTATCAGACTGCTTATACCTACACAATCAGTGAATAGCATACAGGAAAACTTATATTTAAAAGATATTTACAGACGAACTGTGTATTGTAATACTGATGAAGCAATGTGTACTATACACATAAAACAAATATTTGATTACAAAACTAAAATGATAAAAGATTATTTAATGAATTTAAACATCCAATTTCTGAAAAGTTTATCAAACAAAAAAATAACATCCAACACTTCTAAGTTGCTACTAACTATCGATTTTATATGGAAAGGCTACCGTTGAGTTAAGATATAATTTAGTAGTAGATGTTGACGATTCTATCTTTAAATGTGTATATAAGCAAAATATAAAGACTGCCTTTTAAATGTTTCTCTTATCAAAAGTCTAATTACCTATATTTTTATGTTGTTTTCTTACATCTATATTTAGATAATCTCTATTAACATAATGCAATTGATATTAACAAGTTTATCTCATCACTACAAGTCTAGCAACTACATATGAAACCTCGCATAAAGCTTTCTTGATACGTTATCAAGTATAACCAGCAATGGAATTGATACTTATTTGTATTCGTCAGCGGTAAATCATTAAATGACCTCTCCCGCCTAAGGCGAGAAAGAGTGTCAGACTCTTATTGACTAAAAACCACCCCCTTCCTTCTCCTGCTCTAGTCCGAGGCCGCGGTGAGTCATTGCGCTTAACCCGCAACCCCGGCTGAACATCAGCCCTATAGGACCCCGTCTGTGGTGGTCTATTGGCTTTTTGAGGTACGCGCGGAACGCTGCGCGCCGTCCATTCGGAATGGAATTGATACTTAACAAAAGATTTAACCTTTCAGCATTCAAAAAGCAATTTTTTTTCGTATAACCGAAATGAGTTAATTACATAGTCATTTGCTTGAAACTACACTAAGACATACTGAATATTTTTTTAAGAAATAAATGTCTAAAATAATAGGTTTATTTTATTAAGTATTGTTAGTAAAATTAATAGAAAATATATAGAGTAGTGCGGCTGGTTATTCCATCCAGAGGCGTTGGAACATTCCTGAGGAACTAACATGTTTGTTGACTCCTGTAGGTATCTGCAATCCAAATAAAAATATTATTTTAATAAATACTTTAAGAGACTATTAAAAATTAAAATGAAGGATAAGGAAGAACCGTTTTCCTTCTCCGTTCACGCGGTGACTTTGTGGGATTGTCTATCAACGAGTACGAACACTACCTTTCCTCATGTATGTATGTTTCATAGTTTATATTACTATTTGTGTGTAAGACATATGACTGTGTATGTACATACTTACATATTATGCTTTGTTTTGTTATACGTTTATTAATATTGTTATTTATTTTGTTTACAGATCGTTATTTTGTTTGTGTACTTCTAGGATTCGTTTTAGGTTGAAGTGTTGTCTTTGTTAAGGACTATCTTTCATATCTGATATATAATCAAGAATGTGTATATTATCTGATATGTAACAAAGACAAAATTTTAACTTAAAACAAATCCTAGAAGTCTACATAACTGTTTATTCTAACTCTGGAAGAGATTTCTAAAGAAATAAGCTGTGCCTTTGTACCTAATTGTTGTATTATTTTTCTTGTCCAACTTACTGTGTGTACATAAATTATTTAAATTATTTTTTTTAATAAATAAATAAACAACGATTTATAAATAAAGTATAAGATATAAAATCGACTTTACGTACGTTGTTAATAAACAATAAATTTAATAAATAAAAACGAATGATATTAAGCGTAACAAAGATAACAATTAGGTAACTTCAACATTTATGACAATGAAATATATTATGTATAATTGTATATACATATAATACATATAGTAAAGAAAAACTAATAAATTTGGAGGTGTCCGAAATATGAGGTCGTAAATAAACATTTTTCGCGCTTATATAGCAAACAGTGGCTAAACCCCACGAGATAAATTAAAATAATATAGTACAGTATTATACAACTTGAAAAGTTCAATAATTAAAAAAGTCCGCGGTTTTATATGTAGGTATTTAGTAGAAAGTCACAATAACATTTTAAAAGCAATAATGGATTATAAACATAGTGATTTTGAATAATATCCTCGTTGTGGCCCAGCCCTTTACCAATGAGGCTTTTCCCAGTTAAATGTGTTTCTAAGATTATTTAGAAAGTACTGATAAACGGTCAAGGAAAATATCGTAAGGAAATCTGGACAAATAATAAGATAGAAATCACCAAACCATCTTAAACTACCGAGGTGATTAATTCAACCTCTTTGTGTGAATAGAGGCGTTTGTTTAGCAGTGGGCACCTAAAGGCAGGTGATGATAATGATGAAGTTTTAAGCACCTTAAGTACGCACAGAATTCATTTTATCCAAATAAACCTTAAATATATTGTATATTTGATATAGAATAATATAGCTCTTTAAATAGGTCATTTAAGCGCAGGGCAGGCAGGCATTCAGATTTTAAGCGCAGGGGCGT